AAGTAAGTAAGTAAGTAAGTAAGTAAGTAAGTAGGTAAGTACGTATGCAAGCAAGTAAGTAAGTAAGTAAGTAAGTAAGTAAGTAAGTAAGTAAGTAAGCAAGTAAGTAAGTAAGTAAGTAAGTAAGTAAGTAAGTAGGTAAGTACGTATGCAAGCAAGTAAGTAAGTAAGTAAGTAAGTAAGTAAGTAAGTAAGTAAGTAAGTAAGTAGGTAAGTACGTATGCAAGTAAGTAAGTAAGTAAGTAAGTCAGTAAGTAAGTAAGTAAGTAAGTACGCAAGCAAGTAAGTACGTACGCAAGCAAGCAAGTAAGTAAGTAAGTAAGTACGTATGCAAGTAAGTAAGTAAGTACGTAAGTAAGTAAATAAGGAAGTAAGTAAGTAAGTACGTACGCAAGCAAGCAAGCAAATAAGTAAGTAAGTAAGATTCAAGCAAAGTTTAAAACTCGTTAATGCACTGTAATTTGGTGCTATAGTAATAAAACTTTGACAAATTGCCTTACCTGTTCTTTGTTTCTGATCCAACACGAGACTACAGGAGGGCTTCCACTGAAAAAACACGTCAGCTTAGCAGTTTGTCCCGCCTTCACCTCCAGGTGCTGTGGTGGATCTTGGAAATGTAAAACTGGACCTACAGAGACAAAATAACACGAGTGTTGTGGCCCCAAGGTTTTTTGTTTTGTCTGCTGAGAGCCAAACCATCAAACTGGAAGGAAGCCGAGACAAGTGTGAGCCTGAGATAAAGACAAAACAAGGCCTGACTGTAAGATCGATGGCTTGTGCTGTAAAACTGGGAGCGTATTCCTCGTCCTAATCCCATTATTATTATTATACAAGAAGACCAAAGTCTCAAATGGAAACAAAGAGCAAAACAATGACTTTTAACATCCAGCAAAGCCAGTTTTTTTCCAAGTATGTCAAAGTAAAAAAAATAAATAAAATCCCTCTCGTACTACATACATGAAGAAAAACCCATACATAAGTTAATTCTCAGTCATAGAGTCACTATTCAAATATCTCTGACACCATGATGGCAAATTTGACTAAAGCCAATCAGATAAAAACTGTTTTATGAGACTTTAAAGGCATCATTGAACCCTGCAGGTCCAATCTTCAGCTAACTTTCATATCAAATTCATCAAATAAAAAGATAGAAAAGAAAAAAAACAGTGCGTGGGCTCCAAAACAAATGTCAAGGCATTGTTGTGTGAGCTTTTAATGCTTTTGTTGTTGCAGCTACACCCTGAGGGAAGTTTCCCTGTATTATGAAGCACAATGACCTCCAGGAAAATTGCACTTTTATTTGAACAAAGGCCTAAAGAGAGGCAAAACCCTGTTAAATAGTAACACACATGTCACTTTATTGAAATAAAWATGATACATTCATTTGTCTCAAAGAGCAACAGCCAAGAAATAAACCGATACAGTTTGAAGTGGGAAAAGTAAAGTGTTTCTCTCACCTGTCCCTGAGTTGGCTCTCTTCTTCGGGATGATTTCTGCGGAGACAGATGGACTGCAGGTAGGTTTAAGCAGCTGAGGACGAAGGTGTGGCTCCGCACTTACTAAGGCTATCAGCTTACAGACTCGGGAGGTTTGACTGTATACAGCGCAATGTCCACTTCCCTACATGGCCTTTACTTGGGACTGAAAACTTTCAGAGGCTGTRTCAGAGAGTGACATTAGTCTGGAGGCGCTGCAGCGCTGTAGACACTGCATCTGATCTGACACCCAATCACACAACGACTGCAAATATGTTTCCTTGTAGAAACTAAACAAGGATATCCTGAAAAGGTTGAGGTCAAGACATTTTTTGTGTACTTCTTTTCAGCAAAAAAAGGCCTTATGTAACAATACCTCATTGCTGATTCAGCATTTTATACTTTGCACAATTTTTTATTTTATTTCCATATATTTCCCTGATATAGAAATATGGTGAGATCTCTTAATTGTGTGTGTACTTATAAAGCATTCACACTATTATAAAATCAATTTTTACGCCGACTTTTCAGCAGTTTATACTTTTGGAGATATTTAGCTTTTTCTGCCATTTTTTTCTCATTGAAAATAAGTGGAGCTGTCCTCAACTTCATTAAAAAACGTTAAAAACAGTTCTTCAGGCCAAATCTTTACCACACTTTTCTCATTTTCTTCTGATTCCGCTTTTTTAAACTTCTTTGTGCAAATTTCAGCTTTCTTTAGCTTCTTTTTTGCTTATTTTAGCTGTTTTTAGCATTCCACAGCTATTTTTGTACTTCTTACTGTTAATTCAAGCTTTTTATGCTACTTCCAGCTTCATTCTGCTGTTTTTTTAAATTTATTTCTCCATTTTCAGCTACTCTTTAAATTGAGTGTCATTCAAACAAGTTCTTGTTTTGGCAGTCTTTTTTAGCTTTTATTGGGCTTAATTCACCAAACATGCTCTATCAGCTTTTTTCCTGCTATATTYGGCTTTAGCTACTTTACAGTAATAGCTAGATTCAAGCTTTTTTCAGCTAAACTCACATTTTTTTGGGATAAGTTCAGCTTCTTATTGATTAAGTGAGCAAGCATGTACTTTTACTGACAATCCATAATTTTAAGATCACAAAATAGGCCTAATAGGTCAATGTCATGTTAATATTTTATCGGCATGTTTTACCT